CCTCCCCTATCATGCCCCGGGCCCGGGCGGGGGCCGTCCCAGCAGCCAGGACACCATGCCCGAGGGCGACGGCGGGGAGGTGCCCGCGCTCATCCCAGACTGTGAGCCGCTACGGGAGGAGGTATCGCTCTGCGGGGCTGGACCTGGGGAAGAAGACAGGGCAGCGGGCGATCCCTGGGAGGGGGATGTGGACCGAAAGTCCTGGAGCCACCATGGCCGATGACGTCATTGGGGGAACCCGCGTCCTGCCTGGGTCCCGGGCCTAGGGGCCCCGCGAAGGGCAGGGGTGGGCGGTTGGGCAGGAATGTGGGGGTCGACTCCCGCCCCCGTGCTGGCTTAATCATCCTCACCCGCCTGTGACGTCAGCGCCTGTCCCCCACGCGCCCCCATCCCGTAGGGCTACCTGTCTGCCGCCCCCCACCGTCAGGGCCACGAAGTGAGGCCTCCAACCGGACTCAGCCGCTCACGAGGTGCCGGCGGTGCCTGCAATGCAGCCGCAGTGGCCAGGACTAGGGGGAGGGGAAAGAGAAGGGAGGCAGCCTCTAGACTCCCAATACCTTCCCCCAGGTGAGGGCTGAGGGCTCACTCTGCGAGCTGGGACCCCCCCAGGACGACCCTTGCTCAGTACCAGCCAAAAATCTGCAGGGGCTGGGCCTCCGTGGGTGGTGGGTGAGGTGGTGAGGGGTGAGTGGGGCTGTGTTTGAGTGAATTGTGGCATGCCTGTGGTGTGTGTGTGTGTGTGTGTGTGTGTGTGAATATAGATATGTGGTCCTTACCTCTTGGATGGAACAGATGTGTCCTTTCATCAGGTGAGGGTCTGCTGGGTCCTTTGGCTTGAGACTTCACCCAGTTTTGTCTGTACGTAGCTCTCTGGTGTGCAGTGGGGGTGTGGGTGTAAAGTTGCTGGAGGGGTGGAGGATGTGCACTGTGGTCAGATGAGGGTCTGGTGTGTCTTTGGGCTTCAGAGAGTATGTAACATGTATGTACGTGTGTGTGTCCTGGAATGAATGGGTCTGTGTTGTGTGATTGTGTGTGCACGAACGTATGTCTGTGTTCATCTTGCTATGGCTATAGGGGTTTGTGCTCTGGGGACAGGCCAGGGTCCGGTGTTAACAAGCTGAGTTCCTCTTCCCAGGTAGGTGGGTCAGTGATGACCATGTGTTAGGGGTATAGGTGAGTGTGTATACCTGTTATGGTTGATGAGGGACAGTTGCTTTGTGGAGGCCTGGGGGCTGGGGGCTTCCTCTTTTCCCTCAAGGCCTAGTAGAGCTGGGTAGGAGAGGTGGCCATTAACCCCACCTCTATTGTTTGCACTTTCTTTTCTCCCTTTTCACCCTTCCTTTCCACTACCTACTGTCCTCTCTCACCTGAGGGTGAGGAGGCCAGGCTGGCACCCCTGACAGGAAGGAGTGCCGAATCCTCTGGGCCAGGGAGTGGCCCCTGCTGCCCAGCAGCATTATGTCCTGCCCCCTCCCTCAGCACAGATGGGGAGTGGAGGACAGCTCTCCATCTGCTCCCTGCCAAGACTCACACCTCCTCCATTTCTAACTCTCCCTCTTTCTCACTGACTTGAAAACATCTCCCAAGTCTCCTGCTGCCCCTAGTGGAGCAAAGAACCAGGAGCTGCAGGGTAACAGTCATGATGTTTTCCCCATGGCTAGATCTAAGATCTTCACATATAATCTGCTTGAATCTTTGTAACAACCCCAGGTTACAGGTGAGGAAATAGAGGTCCAGAAAGGATAATGGACCTATCCAAGTCCTACTGTAAGTGGCAGAGCCAGCACCAGATCCTGGCCTATTGGGACCCAGAACCCAAGCTGTTCAACTCTTAAGCCCCTGCTACCTTGGCCTCCAATATCACATGAACCAAACATCAAAGCCCAGAGAGAGCAGAAATATGCCAGGTCTTCACAGCAAATCAGGCAGAGCTCAGACCATCAAAATTGCTTTCTTGGTAACCAGCAAGTGATGTGAAGGGAGCATTGTCCTTTTCTCTCCTGGCAGAGATAGATCTGTTGTGTCCTAGGTACTAAGAAACAGCAGGGCAGAGTAGAGGGCAGCCTTATGGAAGATGGGTCCAGGTCCCAATCTTGCAGCCAGCACCACTGTGAGCTGGCTGGAAGTAAGGCTGGGAGCAGGTAGCTTAGGCCCTCAGAGCCTCAGTTTCCTCTCTGCATGGGGTTAAACAGTGTGCTAGCACAGCTGATGGCCCTACCCTGACTCCCTCTCCTCTCTCTCTCTGCCTACCCTGCAGCAGCGGCCCCTGAAGCAGTCCCTGGGAAGCTCCCTATGCCGAGAGTCGCACTGGAAGTGCCTACTCCTCACACTCCTCATCCATGCCTGTGGTGCAGTGGTGGCCTGGTGTCGCCTTGCCACTGTGCCACGGCTGGTCTTGGGGCCCGAGGCAGCCTTGGCTCGTGGGGCAGGGGGCCCGCCACCCACTTACCCGGCTAGCCCCTGCTCTGACGGCTACCTGTACATCCCACTGGCCTTTGTCTCCCTCCTCTACCTCCTCTACCTGGCAGAATGCTGGCACTGCCATGTGCGGTCATGCCAGGCACCTCGCACAGATGCCAACACTGTGCTCGCCCTGATCCACCGGTTACAGCAGGCCCCGCCCTGTGTCTGGTGGAAGGCCACCAGCTACCACTATGTGCGCCGCACACGCCAGATCACCCGCTACCGCAACGGCGACGCTTACACCACCACACAGGTCTACCACGAGAGGGCTGACAGTCGCACAGCTCGGGGTGAGTTTGACTACTCAGCCCATGGTGTCCGCGACGTCTCCAAGGAGCTGGTGGGCCTGGCTGACCACGCAGCCACTCGGCTGCGCTTCACCAAGTGCTTCAGCTTTGGCAGTGCGGAGGCCGAGGCCTCCTACCTCACACAGAGGGCCCGATTCTTCAGCGCCAATGAGGGCCTGGACGATTACCTGGAGGCCCGTGAGGGCATGCATCTGAAGGACGTGGACTTCCGTGAGTCCCTCATGGTCTTTGCTGACCCCCGAAGCCCACCCTGGTACGCCCGAGCCTGGGTCTTCTGGCTCGTGTCAGCAGCCACGCTGTCCTGGCCCCTGCGGGTGGTGGCGGCCTATGGCACTGCCCATGTCCATTACCAAGTAGAGAAGCTTTTCGGCGCCAGCTCGCCTCCTCCAGGGGCCATGCCCAGCGGACCACCGCTGTCCCGGGTGGCCACGGTGGACTTCACTGAGCTGGAGTGGCACATCTGCTCCAACCGGCAGCTGGTGCCCAGCTACTCAGAGGCTGTGGTCATGGGCGCTGGCTCGGGCACCTACCTTCGGGGCTGCCAGCGCTGCCGCCGCTCTATCAGCAGCAACTCGCTGCCCCCTGCCCGGCCCAGTGGCCCCCGCCTGCCCTTCAGCCGAAGCCGCCTCTCACTGGGTGCTGGGAGCCGGGCCACACCAGGGGTCTTCCGCAGCCTGAGTGGGGGGCCGTTGGGGCGTCGTGGAGAGGACACCGAGCCCTTGGAAAGCCCACCGTGCTATGAAGATGCCCTTTACTTCCCGGTGCTCATTGTCCATGGGGACAGCGGCTGCCAGGGAGAAGGGCAGGATGTGCACTGAGATGCCCTGCAGCCCCAGTGTGTCTCCCTCCTCAACATCCAACCGTGGGCTTGGCTGCCTGATACTTGGCCAAAGCAGGAGGGCAAGCAGACCAGTCACTCACAGGGGTCGGGTGGGGTGGGGGTTCTTAGACAAACTAAAATGTGGTAACTGATCGTTCTGGGGGGAGGGAGCCACCTGAGTTGAGCCTATATGACCCATTCACAGCATGGCTCCCCTCGCCTCCCACGCCCGCTGATGGCGAATGAGCTGCTTGGGGGCCTCCCGCACTGGGTAGGGGAGGAAGCTTCCAGAAGGGCTGGGATGGGGAGGAGCCCGGGGACAGCTGTTACCTGCAACAAAGGGCTGCCTGTGGGCTCCTCCCTGCCATGGCTGAGGCCACATGGGCCCTTACGCAACCCAGAAGCACAAATGGGCAGTTTGGGGCTGCACCTGTCTAGACCGGCCTCCTGAGGCTGAAGAGCAGTCGATGATGGCTTGCCCAGGTTCCCACGCTCTTCTGCCAGCCCCTTCCTGCTTGTCCTCTCACCTCTTCTCAGGCCAGTCCCTGACGTGACCCTATATAGGTGTGGCCCTCTCTTCTGGGAGCCTCACTCTCGGAACACAGCCTTGCCTCCCTTTTTTCCTGGTGCCCACTGTACCCACCCCCACCTCCAGCTCTCCTTAGGACCAGGCTGCCATGATCCCACATTCCCTGGTCTCCACTCCTGCCTCCCAAAGTCTGTGCCCGCCTCTGTCAGCCCCCTCCCCACACACACACCCTGTCCTCATTGCTCCTGTGGGCTCCTCCGCTCGTCGCCTTCCTGATGCTTCATGGGATCAGGGCCAGTGGGCCTCCGAGAAGCCCTGGCCTAGCCATAGCCTCTTGGACTATGTCTTTGCCTTGCTCAGGAGGCCCCTGTTTCTCCCACAGTGGAGCCTGGCCCAGGGAACATCATCCTTCCCCCAGGGAGGAGAGAGGAGACCCTTTCCTTCCAATGGGGGCTTCCACCCCTATTCAGGGGCTGGCAAGGGAGGGAGGAGGCAGAGAAGGTACTGACTAAATAAAGGTATGAAATGGCAGAGCTTCTGTGTTCCTGAGGAGGGGGTCCAAGGCCACCACTAAAGCATGACCTGCCCACCCTGGGTGGGGATGAATTGGGCTTCAACATTCCTGGGAGCAATGCTCTCTCTTTTTTTTCTTTTCTTTTTGTCCTGGGGATGAAACCCAGAGCCTGAAGTGTGCCAGGCAAGCACATGCTTTCTAACACTGAGTTACACCCAGCATCTGACTCCACTGACCCCAGTATCTGGGCCTGGATCACTTGAAAAGCACTGTCAAGGCAGGGCCCTCTTCCAGCACTGTGGGAGATTCCAATCTGCTGCCAGGCACGGGGTATGCCAAGGACAGAGCCTACAACTCTGGTCATTTCTCCCCATGGCTTTGGTGTCCCTGGTCCTGGGGAATGGCGGCAGAGCAGGGTGGAGGACACAAAGCTAGAAAGGGCCAGCCCTGAACCAAAACAGGCCAGAGCAGGATCCAGTAAGAGAACAAGCCACCAAAGAAGGGCCTCACTCACTGAGAAAGCTCTAGGTGTCTGTACAGTTGCTCGGGGTGTTTTCTACACAAGGACACTGGGCTGAGGTCAAGCATGGATGGAATCCACCCCCATACTGGTGTGGAGCTGCATTCAGTTGAGAAAAGGGCACTCTTCTAATTTACCCAAAGGTGCCGTAAGTGCTCGTGGGTGCCCTGGAAGGGGACTGGGAGTGGAGTGGGTTGAATTCCCTGGCGGGAGACAGATAGAGGGCTTTCTGGGCAGTGGATGGAACCAGATTATAAAGCAAAGAAGTAGAGGCAAAAAGCCATGTCAGACAGGGCACCCAGACATTCAAGAAGCTACAGTTCCACTGCCCGCCTTGCAAGCACAAGGACCTGAGTTTGATCTCCGGTACCAAAAAGAAAAACAAAAAAAAATGCAGGGAGGCTGATGTGCTGTTTCCAGTTCCTCCCCACAAGAAGGTCTTCTTTTCCAACCTTCTGCTCCAACACCATAGCTACCAACTGCCCATTGGCCACTGGCCATTCTTCTCCCTCAATAGCAGAACTTTAGATGGCCCAGCCAAAGACACCATTCCAGCTTCCCTTGTGCATATGTTATGACCATGTGACTTAATTCTAAGAAATGTGATATAAACAGAAAGTGTTGGAAGAAATTTCCCACAATACTCCTTGAATTAGATAGTAGCAAATAGTAGCAAAGGACATTTTTGTCCTTTCTGGTTCCACCTCCCTTCAGCCTGGAATGAGTATGTGATAGTTGGAACTCCAATAGCTATTTTGTATCAAAAGGTGATCTTGAAAACTAGCCATGTGCTGAGGATAGCACAGTGACAAAATAAAAGATCCTGGGTTTCTGATGACACTAACTAAGGAAGCTTCTTTATCATCCTTGAGCTGCTTGTTTCCAAACTCTAATGAGAAAATTTTAGATTGCTTAAACCACTGTTTTGGGGTTTGTTTTTTTTTTTCTTGTTTCTGTTACCAGCAGGCTCTCTTTTCTTTTTCTTTTCTTTCTTTCTTTTTTTTGAAACTAACTTTTTCCCCCAAATAATGGAGATGAACTCAGGACCTTGTGCTTGCCAGGCAGGTGCTGCTTTGCTGAACTACATCGCAGCCTTAGCCTTTCTTAATGTTCTGCTGCTCCATAACAAATTATCTTCAGGACAGTGGCTTCACATAGAAACAGTCATCATGCTGTCTCTCTTGTGTGGGTCAAGGTACAATGAGGATTGCTTATCTCTGCTCTCCAAGGCCTGGGGCCTCTACCAGGTCAGGAATCAGCCACAGGCTCCTTCACTCACAACTCTGTGGATGCTGGATGATGGCTGAGGGCCAAACCAGGATTGTTGGCTGGGAGGCCTTGGGTGGCTTCTCTGCGGTGTGGGCGTCCTCACAGTAGGTGGCTGGGTTCCACAGACAAATGTATCAAGAGGGTGGCAACTCTGTTGCCCTCTAGGATGCATCTCAGAAGTCATACAGCATTGTCCCTGCCCTTTTCCATTGGTCAAAGTTAGTAGAAAGGTCCACCCAGAGAGAGTATAAGATCCCACCTCTTCATGGGGATTTCTCAGTGCCAGATTTAGAACAGCATGTGGGGGCTGGGGCTTCAGCTCAGCCATTCGGATGTGGTGACCCACACCTATAATCCCAGCCCTCTGGGAGACTGAGGCAGGAAGATGGCAAATTTGAACCCAGCCTGAGCAACGTAGTGACTTAGTAAAACCTTGTCTCAAAATAAAAATTAAAAATTTTAAAAAATGGCTGCAGATATATTCAGTGTGAAGGCTCTGGGTTCAATGTGAACAAAAACAAACAAAACAGTGTGGGGGCGGTTAGCTCAGTGGTTCCGCTGTCTGCCTCGCAAGGACCGGAATTCAAACCCTGGTACCAAAACACAACACACACACACACACACACACACACACACACACACAC